TTACTGAACAAGGCTCGTAGCGCGGCTTTGCTTAAATCCTTCTCTAACTTGCCCACGAACACTATACGACGTTCTTCTACTGGCGTGCTGTTCTCCCTAGAAAGAGTTTCCTAGGGTTTAGTACATTAAATACAATAGATGGCGCTGTTATTAAAAGAAAATTGTTTTTTGTCTCTTTCTCTCTTACGACTTTTAACACTGCATTTGTTTAGAATTTTTATGAATACTATTAGTACAATATAATTTATTTTTTGGTACTTAAATTATTTTTTAAATCGTTTTAACTACTAGTTGTTGCTCGCGATTTCGTTCGCACGGTGTTAAAGAAATCTAGCAATAAATATGACCTATTACACTTAGTTATAATTTAGCTTTCTAATGGTGAAAGAATTTATAATATCGGTCCAGTAGATTTGAGTTTATGCGTTACATAAAATCAAAAATACTTCTTTACACATACTAACATTATAAAGAGGGAAGATTTACATTTTTGTATTTTTGTATTTTTTTTATTATCACGTCTACTTTTTTCGGTGATGGTACCGACCAGTATTGAAATAACTCAAAAACTACTAGGCCGATTTTAAAAATTCTTTCACAGTTATAAAGATAATCTATCCGTAAGTAACAAAGGCTATATATTTTTTTTTAATTTCACGCGGACAAACGCGAGCAACGACTAGTATCACATATATTTTTTAGCGCATATTGACAGAAAATTAACATAAAGACAGTACTTTATAGGGAATTTTTACTGCGGAATTAATGTTTAACAACAACCAAATGGCAGACTTACCCATCTTCAGAACTATATGTTCTGTAATTGTTGAACGTCTTGTCTTTCCTGAAGGATGTACTGGAGACGCGCGACTTGACTGACTCCTCTGAAGAACTACTGCTTGATGAAGACGATGAACTACTGCTATTAAGAAAAAAATATTAACACATTAATATATGTAAAATCATTTTTTTAAACCACTAGATATCTAAAACAAATAAAAAAACAATCACAAATACTTACGACAGTCTAAAATTATATGTTTTGGTGTGTAACTCAAAATTTCTGATTCATTCATAAACACATGCATTCAATCAAAGATATTTAAACATATAGACGGGGCATAGTAAACAAAAATTTACACCAGTACTTTCTCTGAAAGTCTAGTCAAGTCTGGTGTCATCTTGTGTCTTTGTAATTCACATGTAATAAATAGTTTTACAAAAATTTTTAAGCTCCATCAATTGTTACAAATAAACTAAATCATGTTACAATTGAAAAATCTTTCAAGTGAAGTGTCAACTATGCCTCCTCTATGTATTTGTAGCTCTTTGATTTTAATATACATACCTAGTGGACGATTCGGAGCTTTCTGATACAGTAGGCTTTCGTATTAATGGTGGTGTTAGGGAGACGATAACTTTTTTATCAGCATTACTCTCATACTGAGGACTTGGTTTGGTCCTTTTAGCCGGACTTTTTGATCTCTTAGGCTCCGCGTGTTTGGATCTCGAGCGAGATCTCTGCCGATATTCCCGTCTTGGAGTCGGCGATCTTCGTTTA